CAAGAAGCTACTAGGAGCAGCAAAGGGCATCGCTACTAGGAGTAAGGACGCTACTAGGGGCTCCTGGCCTTACTACTAGGAACAAGAAGCCACTAGGCGCTTTACATGCTTCGAGTCTCGGGCACAGAGGAAGCAGGGCTGGCAAGCGCCCTCAATCAACTCAACTCTTGTCACGACATGCATTTTGCACTAGCTAGGCTGGTTTGCTTGGACTTGGTGTCCTGCTGTGGATGGCCAAGATCAAGAAAGGCGCGTGGTTTTGGCAAGAAAATCAATCGACCACAGTCATGAGTCATGTTCGTACTTGCATTTCTGGAAGTGTTCACGTAAACTTGACAGGCAATGTCAAGGTTTTAGTCAGGTTCTAGTCTTGACACCGGCCTGAAGGAAACTATACTGCAAAAGTGTCCTTTTGCTTTTAACCAAGCTCAAGAGTGCACCTCATGCTAAGGCTGTCAACAACATCGCACTCAACATACTAGAGGCTCAGAACCTCCAGGCCCATTGGAGGCTGTGGAATTGCAACAGACGTGATCGATTATTTCAAAAAGTATCGATATCGATGAATATGTTATCGGGCAAATTACAGTTAGGAAATTATATACGAGTTGTTCATTACGATTGTTTTAAATATGAATTTAACGTATGATTTAAATAAATATTCTATATGTTTTACGAAAAATTACTAATAGGTTAGGTTGAAATTATGTTTGTTAACGAAATGAATTTAGGGATTTGGAGGGTAGGTTATATAGAATAAATTGATTATATAGAATATAAAAATTTAATGAATATATATATATATATATCGTATTGAAATATAATAGTAAGAGGTTTTTAGGTATTTTTTATTAGGCGATTAAAAAATAATAATTATTATATAAATAAATAAATAAATATATTATTTGTTTGTATGTTAATATATATTAATCGAAAATAGACAAAGGAAATATCGATGAAACGTGGCTTAAAATTGGATTGGGGGGTTAGGATAATTATGATTTTGGTTGGTTGCATTGGGTAATTGGTGGTTTAAGGATGATATCGAAAATCTCTCGTATTTCTTGATAATATATTTGAGGATGAGATTTGCGAGATGTTGTCGATGGGAAGAGCGGGTTTTTAGGATTTTCTTCGAGAAGCGAAAAGAAAGAGGCGATAGATGGATGTTGAGGATAATTAATTTTACGAATACAAATGTTTATTATTTATTTTTATTTTAATAATAGATATTAAATTGACTAATTTTCTTCCGAATTAAGGTTTTGAAGTTGTTGGAGGATACCGAATCCTTGGATATTATTTCTAAGGATATAGAATTATGAAGCTTCTGGCGGCTCGTTATGGGTCGTCGTATGTTTATTATCCGCTAATATGGCAGGAGGTTGTAGGTCTTCATGGAATTTATTTATGGGGTGGCTTGGCTTAGGGAATATTCGAATTTCATAGGGTATATAATCCTCTTTTTTGAAGAATCTTGTTGTCGCAACGTCCCGAGTGCTTGTTTAAGATCGTGGCGTGAATAGAAATGGCAACCGAAATAATAAGGGAAAGAGGCCTCGCCTCTTCATAGGCCATGTATGTATAATTGTTTGATGGAGGTCTCGAAGGGCAACTCTTGGGCTCCTCACCAAAGGGTGAAAGCGGCGCGCATTCCGCTCGAAGTGGCGCGTGCATGGAAAATGGGGGTTCTGGATGTTAGTTTGCAGAAGTTTAGGAGGGTCTTTTGTTGGTTTAAAATTTTGAAATTGTGGGGAGCATTCCGCTCGCATGACGCCGAGGGGGGTGCCCCCGGTTACGTTGACCTTCGACGAGGCGGTCGGGCTTCAAGGAGATACAATAAGAGGGAAAACAACGGGGGGTCGGTCGTCGAGCAGAGATTGTCCAGTTCTACATCTGCAAGGACGCTGGGTTGGTTTCCCGAGAGTGGTTGAGGGTAGGATTAAAGCTCTTCATGACCATGAACCGGGATGTCAAGATGGCCAACCGAGATTTCCTCATGTGCAAGCCCACGGAAAACCTTCAAGGTTTTAGGCCGTCCATGATGAGGTATGCGGACGCGATGTGCTTCTCCCGCGCCTTGCTGACGGAGATTTATTCGGCCAGGAAGGACAACGAGGGCAATTTGCACAAGTTGATGAATCCGGAATGCACCTCCTACTGGAGTAAACGTAGCGAACGGGTCCTCATTATGAGCTGGGCTTTGATAGCTGAGGTCCCACGCGAGAAAAGAAGGCGATGGGGTAGGTGGTTACCTGGTGTCGGCGAAGAGTACGCCGTGACAACAAAGCGGGTGGTGACCACGGCACAAGCTAGCCTGGCGGCCAAGATTCGTGGTCAGTATGGAATCACCGACTATGTGGACGACAGGTCTGTGCTGAATGGCTTTTTACTATGGCTTTAGACGGTCCACCTCAAGTCGGTCTCGGAGTCGCACCAGGAGAGCATGAAGATCGCGCCCCCTATGTGGGGCGGATTGGGTGAGGGGCCGGTGAAGGTGATCAAGAAGCCCCTGGTGGCCAAGGAGGAGGTGGATGTGCAGTTTGCGGACTCCCTAACCGAGGTGTTTTCGGATGACGAGGGCATGGATGATGTCCCACCAGGGGAGAGGTTTCCTTTGGGCACCTTCATTCTGTCGGTGCTGGGGCGTACCAAACGCCGTACACTACATATCATGGGTGGTTGCTATAGAATTTCCGGCGTGTATTACCGTGAGTATGTCGTGGTTGGCATGGAGCGCCCAGAGATCTCGGCGGAGAGCGGCGAACGATTGTGTAGCATATGCTTCACTCCGAAGGAGAAGATCGCCGAGGCCTTGACGAATGGTGAGGAAGCCGAGCAATCCACCTCTTCGGAGTCCTCCTCAAGTGAGGGCGTATCGGACGAAGACATCTGAAATGATGTCCGAGAAAAGTGGTGTTGGGGTGCTGGGCGGGCCTTGGAGGGGCACCAGGTTGGTGGGCTCGGTCGTTCCCGGATTCTCGGTCGGTGGATTCGTTCGGTCCGGGATTTGGTTCGAGTTAGGTTGGGTGGCCCCTCATTGGGGCAAGTCCTGGAGGGATTGTCCTCATTGAACGATCTTCCCGGAGAGGAGGTTAGGTGGCGCGAAGCCATGGCGGGTTTTTCGCAAGCCGAGAAGATCGCAGAGCTTCAGCCCGACTTTTAGGGGCTCTTGGATGCTCGCGGGGTGGACGCGGCAATGCAGGAGGCATTGTATGATAGTGGGGTCAAATCGATAGCCATGCTATCGGCTATTGCAACTGCAACGGACAGGGCGTCCTTCATGGATTTGGCCAAGGCGGAGATGGGAATTGATGTGGCGGCCAGGCCGGTCGATGCTATAAGGTTCGCTGCCTTGTTCCTAACATGGCAGTCATCGGTGAAAAGGACAGCGGCCATGGATGAGATGGGCGCGGAGGCAGTGACGCATAAGACGCCCAAGGCCGTGCCCGGGGCGGAGATGCAACTCTACGGCAGCGAGTTTGAGAAGAAATTTTATAAGTTGAAAGACTCTGAGTGCCCAGGCAAGCCGAGCTTCGAGGACCTGTGCGAGCAGATCGATGGGGGTGAGTTCAGAGCCATGGCATTGAGGCACTTTGGCTCGCGGGCGGAGGAGAAGCGGAGACGGGCAACCTGCAGGTCAGGTGAGGATCAAGAAGTCTAGGGCCAGGGTTGAGACCAGCGTTCCCACCAACATGGAGGACTTCCGCTCGAAGATCAACCTGGTTGTGAACCACCTGATCTTTGCCCGTTTCAGGTATCCTCATAAACAGGTCTTGGACGGCATCTCTCCCTTTATATCGATCGAGTATTTGAATTACATCTGCAGTAAGAATGTTGCCCAGTTGGAATCAGTCTCCATCGACGAGGTCCCACTTCACCGTCCGTCGCTCAAGTTGATCATGAGCTACGAGTTCCAGATGCGCAAGGAGGCGGTGGACGAGGTCAACAATGGCATGGCTTGGATTTAGGCCCTGCGTGAGGTGGTGAAGAACGCAGATGTTAGGGAGCACTACTTCAGCACTCCGTTGGCGGTGTCTTCGGACTCACAGGCCTTCAAAAAGCCGTGGAGCGGCCGCAATCGGGCACAAGACGGTCAGCATCTTTATGGGCAGCCGCCGGTGGAGAAGTGGAAGGGCAAAGGAAAGAGCAAGCACAAGAAAGGAAAGGGGAAATCAAAGGGTCGAGGGTCATCTCTTCATGCAGTCACCCCAGACGGGCGCCAATTGTGCTTTGCTTGGAACAATCCCCAAGAAGGTTGCAAGGGTGGTTGCAATCGTGTTCACGCCTGTCGGATTTGTTTGGACACCCCTCTTTCGAGCACCCCTCGGATTCGAAGGACTCGTGACTAGGGACCTCAAGTCCCGCTCAACCCGTGCATGAACTTGTGCAGGAGTTTAAAGGACTTTATCTTTTCTTAGGACCCCAACCCTCTACGGGGATACCTGAGGTGCTGCAGCAATTGGCCAAGGCTTCTAAGAAGCCAATCAGAATTCATGTGGACGCCTTTGACATCCTTAGAGATCCAAGTCATGATTTATTGCACGATGAGCTTCGTCAATCCATTTTGAAGAAATTGGAGGACGGCTTCTACGACGTCGCCGCCGTGCGGCACTTGGTCACGGGCACCCTGGCCAATGTCCACGGGCCACGCCCTTTTTGCAGCTCCATGCACCCCTACGGCTTTCTGTGGTTAGAAGGTTGGCCGCTGCACAAAGTCACACAGGTTAATTCAATGGTGGATTTGTCTTTACAGGCTCTCACTATATGCGTCAAGCTGGACATTTTGTTTCTGCTAGAACATCCTGAGGACTTGGGCGCGACGCCTTGATACAGCTCAGATATGAGACCCGCATCCATCTGGCAGCTCCTCCCTGTTCGCAGCTGGGTGGCGGCCAACCAGGCCTACTGCGGGGCATTCTTTCAATGCGCTTTTGGCGCGGCCTCCCCAATGCCAACGCGGTTGTTGCACAACATCCTCGAGTTCAACCTCAAGTTGTGGGAAGGCATGCCGCACCTCGATGAGCGCGGACATTACTTAGGTCCACTTCCGTCGCGTTGCAGCTGTACCAGGCCACATCAGACCTTGATCCGTAAGACAACGGACGGGGCATTTGCCACGTCCGCAACCGCGGCATACCCTCCAAGGATGGACTCTTGGCTCGCGAAGGGCATTTTCTCAGCTCTTTTAAAGGGAAAGCTTCAACAATGCCTGAAGGTTCGACCCCGTGTGAGGGCACAACTCAGCTCAGCACCGGCACCATCACCAAGGTCACCTTCGGCATCAAGCGTGGTACAAAGGAAAGGCCAGCAAGATGGTCGATGGATTTGGCCTCAACTCTCCGAGCATTCGTCCGGCAGGACATCGGGGAGTCAACCTGGACAAGGTTGGGGCGGAGTTGAGTGAAGTGTTCTGGGAGGAGGTGCGGGGTTTCATGGGCTCCCTATCCAAGGCTCAACGATTGAGGTTGATTTCAGAGCTGGCTTTAGGCGCGCCGGTCAGGCTCGCCGTTCATGGAAGTCCTGGAGGGGGTTAGGGATCGTCTCGACAAGATCTTGCTTGGGAACCATTTGGAT